GGATCTGCCCCTCCTCTTTAAAAGGCCCGGGGTCCTCCCGGGACGCTTCTCGCCCCCTTCTCCATTCCTGGATTCCCCATACTCTTCGGCTCACCTCCAGCCTCTCCCGCCTCGGCAAGCACAGCTTTCCCCACTGCCCCGTCTGCTTTTGTTTTGTGGTCTTTAGAATCGCTCCGAGCCCCGGGGTTTCCGAGCCCCGGCGGCCAAAGTTACCGTCGGCTCCCGGAGGAGCGCTCCCGGGCTTAACTGGTGACCCAAGTGGGATTCCGAAGTCCGAGTGAAATCCCCGAAGTTGAGCGGAGACTGGGAGGTGGCCCCGGACTTGTAGAGTACCGAGGGAGACCGTGGGGAAGTTGCCAGCTTTACAAAAGGATCCCAATTAAGACAAATGCTGCTACCATCCGGCTAAGGCAGGTAAAGACTTCACGCTTTTTAATAATAATAATAAATAATAAACTGGTAACAGAACTAAACACGAATTATTAGCTACAGTGGTTCAAGGCTTCACCTATGTAAACATGAAATAGGGAAGTAAAGATGCCAGAGGGAGAGAAGGGAAACGACAATGCCTCATCGAAAAGATTTCCAAAGACAGCTAAACTTGTACATTTTTAAGAGTACACAAGAGAAGGCATGGAATGATAGGGTTTGGTCAGGGTTGGTCCTTTGGTTCAAGAGTTACATTAGATCCCTCCAAGACAAGAACTTAGCCCTCCCTTTGCCATAACGCTTGTTTTTGCCAGTCCTCGGGCATGAACTCTGGGCCTGGGCGCTGACCCTCAGCTCTTCAGCTCAAGGATAGTCCTCTACCACTTGAGCCACAGCGCCACTTCCGGCTTTTTCTGTTCATATATACTGAAGAATTGAAACCAGAGCTTCATGCATCTAAGCAAGTACTCTACCACGAAGCCACATTCCCAGCCCTGCCATAACGTTTTAAAATTTTCCTTTACTTCTGCACAGCATATTTACAATAAAACTTTTTTTTTAAAAAAATTCTCTTTAGGGGATTCCTGCATTGTAATTCCTTAATTATCTTTCTTCTCCCTTGCTCCCCAGTCTCACAAAAATTCCAGAAAAAGCCAGGCTGTGTCTTACTCAGTGTTAGTTCCCTACAAAGTGCTTGTGAGGATAGCAGTCCAGGGGAAAAGATTATTGGTTCTGTAAGCATGTTATTAGATCTGTGGTTCTCAAAAGCCTGGCCTGGAAGCCCTAGGGATCCCTGAGCCTCTCTAGGAAGTCTTGAAATCAACACTAAGGGTTATCTCTATTAGTGGATGTACTGACATATGCACTGATGATACAAAAGTAACAATGGGTAAAACTGCTGCTGTTCTGCACAAATCAAGGCAAACCAAGCAGCCTCCCCAGCCACAGCAAAACTGCCACTGTTTCACCTTGGCAAAACACTTTGAATATGCTTTGAATATGTTTTAAACGCTATTTTGTGAGAGAAATGGATGGATATGTGGATGCATACATAAAGCACTCCCAAGTACACCATTTCTCTTGGGGATTAAGTATGTGGGCAGTTTTTTTGAGTGTGGAGCTGGATTAACAGCCTTCCTAATGGAAGACCATTTTTACTTGAAAGAATGGCTAATAGACAACTGTGGTTATTATCTGACAGACATTTTCTTCAAAGTAAAAAAAAATTTTTTTTTTTGGGTCCGGTCGTGGGGCCTGAACTCTGGGCCTGGGCACTGTCCCTCAGCTCTTCAGCTCAAGGCTAGCAGTGCTCTACCACTTGAGCCACAGCACCACTTCCAGCTTTTTTCTTTTTGCTTATATGGTGCTGAGGAATCGAACCCAGGGCCTCAGGCATGCAAGGCAAGCGCTCTACCACTGAGCCAACTTCCCAGCCCTCTTCAAAGTAAAATTAACTCAAGCTTTTAAGCAAAATGTTTGAAAACTTGCATTTGCCACATTGAACATAATAGCTTCCTACTGCTTTCTTAAGACCAGTAGTGAAATTAACAATTATGATTTTATATTGCTTAATGAGTGTCAACATTTAGATCTCCAGTATTTTCTAAATGATTAAATGACATGATGCTAAGAAATCACACATCAACAAAATACAGTGTGCAAAATAAGCCATTGAGTATTAATATAATATGGGGGGTGTCTGGGAAGGTGGCTCAGTGGTAGAGCACTTGCCTTGCATGCATGAGGCCCTGGGTTCGATTCCTCAGCACCACATAAGCAAAAAGAAAAAATGCCGGAAGTGGCGCTGTGGCTCAAGTGGTAGAGCACTAGCCTTGAGCTGAAGAGCTGAGGGACAGCGACCAGGCCCAGAGTTCAGGCCCCACAACCGGACCCAATAAATAAATAGAAAAAAAGGCAGATGGTGCTAGGCACCAGTGGTTTATACCTGTAAACTGTTATTTAAATCCCAGTACAGGCACACATGATGCACAAGCACACACACCCCTGCAGTATAGTCATACTCCAATAGGAACTAACAAATTCCCTCATTAAGCACAATGCAATCTCCACAATCTGGGAGGGAAAGGACAGGTGAATTCCGTTGTGGTTTGGTTGGTTTGTCTCAGAGCCAGTAAGAAATAAACAGGGAAGGGAATTCCCTAAACAAGGTACCCAAAGCTGCATGGCCTCTGGGAAGGATGGTGTAAGGGAAATCCAAGTGCTGTAAAGACAGACTTGACAACGTTCTACCCAAAGGCAAAAACTCACATGGAGATCCCACCATCAAGGACTCACAGAGCAGACACCAAACCCCCAAGAGAGGCTCCAACTTATAATACTGTGGGCTCAGCTTTTCCACGTGCCCAATGGAACCTGCATGACAAATAGCATGCAGACAGTAACTGATGTGGAAAGGGAGGACGTAGCAAGGGAATCACAGGTCACATATCAACTATGAAGGTCAACTGTCTAGATATCTAGCCTTTTGGTTTCCTACATACTGAACAATCCATCAATCTATCCACATATCTATTATTGTGGTGCTGGAATTTGAACCTGGGGCCTTGAACATGCTGGACAAGCGTTCTACCACTTGAGCGATACCCTCAACCTCAGCACTAAAACTATCTTTATTTTGTACTTGAACTCTAGCATTCATGATATCTGACTCTATGTGCTTTTATTTATTTTTGACCAGTCATGGGGCCTGAATTCTGGGCCTTGGCACTGTCCCTTACCTCTTCAGCTCAAGGCTAGTGCTCTACCACTGGAGCCATAGTGCCACGTCTGGCTTTTTCTGCTTATGTGGTGCTAAAGAATCAAACCCAGGGCCTCATGCATGCAAGGCAAGTACTCTACCACTGAGCCATCTTCCCAGCCCTCTATGTGCTTTTAAATGATATGGGACCACTGTCCCTGATTTGACAATAGTACATGATGAAGAAGCTTCCAGCACAAAGTGAGAGATAAATGAGTTCATAAAATAGACATAAAGTGAAATGGATAAGTAGGTATGCCAATTCTATAACTAAATAAATTAATGAATAAATAAGGATCACTACTGCATGAACCGCACATTTGAACCAGAATGTGGATTCTAGGAAATCATATAATTTCCAACTATATGTATTTCTGTAGCTCATCTCCATGTGAAATTTGTTTTCTATCTGATCATGAAAGGTGACATACAAATAAACTCATAAAATATCTGGATAGACAGCACATACCTAGAAGTAAATTCCAGTTATGTCCACACACTGGGTTGTTTACTGCATTTTCCCCCCTTTCTCCTCTTCCTGATTTCACCCCACTCCTTTTGAGTACCTGGTTCCTGGTGTTTTATTTTTGCTGATTTTGACTTTGCCTTTCTAAGGAATTATACTATTTGAGAGCTCACTTGACCCTAACGTATTTCAGTTCATATGTCTGTATATGCCTGCCTACCACCAAACTTGGCTAGAGGAGCAATAGGTCAGAATGAGATGGGGTGATCAAGATAGATTGTATTAATAAATGCCTTCATTAAATGATAACTCCTTTGTATAGCTTAAATATTAAAAACTCAAAAAAATTATTATAACGGTGATGTACAGGGGGCTTAGTGGTAATGTGTTTGCCTAGCATGCATGAAGCCCTGGGTTTTCAGTTCCTCAGTACCACATACACAGAAAGTGCCAGAAGTGGTGCTGTGGCTCAAGTGTTGAGGGCTAGCTTTGAGCGAAAGAAGCTCAGGGATAGCGCCCGATGTACCGAGTTCAAGCCCCAGGACTGGGGGGAAAACGTGATGTACAGAAGGGTTAAGAACTCAAGTAATGACCATTGTTTCTTTTTGGACAATAAACCCCTTCTTTCATTCTGAAGCACTTGTATTTTAAGTTTCAATTTTTGATATCTGGATCACATGCTCATGTAGAACTTTTTTATTCCTTCCTTCCTTTTGGCAGGGGGGGATGAGATAATGGGGCTCATACTCTCAGCTTTCTTGTTCACAGCTGGTGCTCTACCTCTTACTCACAGCTAGTGCTCTACCACTAGAGCAACACCTCTCTGGCCCAATTTAGGTGGAAATTCTAACCACTCCCCTTACTCTCCAGAAATAGGAGAGAAAATGTTCAGTAGCCACTTCAGGCAAGGAGAAGGGGCTAGCTTCTTGGTATTTCTCCCAGCTGTGCCTGGCACCAATAATCAGGGAGAAAATGGAGTTGCTTGATGCTCAATAACTGAGGGAAGCCAGCAGGAGGCAGTAAGGGGACAGGAATCCCAAGGACAAGAGGAAAGTGTGGCTAGTGCAGAAATGGGTCCGTGGGTGCAAGACACAGACAAGATGAGAACAGTGGTTCTACCTCGTCGGAGTCTACCATTTGTGGGTGCCATCTGTGGTATAACTTAACATATCCCTTTAACATGACTAAAATAAACTAAAAACCTATCAATGAAATCCTCTCAACAACACTTCTATCATCTCTGCATCCTGAGTAGCTGAGATTATAGGAGTACACTACCACAAATGGAAGATGTGTGTTTTATTGTTTGTAAATGCTATCTAAAACATCTCAATTTTTAAAAAGCAAACAATAAGCAAGAAACAACAAAAGCAGGAGGAAGTGAAAATAAAAAGCACAAACTGGGAAGGCAAACTGAGGTTCTTGTCAGCCAAAGCTACAAAGGAAACATAATCAGTACCTAACTTCTGTTGCAGAAATCCTGTTGCTCCTCATTGTGATGCTTTCAATGTTCCTAAGACCACCTCTGTATTTCAAATGTTAGCCTGGCTGAACTTTTATGCAGTAGGAGTGGGGCAGGCCAGCAAGGCATACCCAACAAGTAGCTCCAAAACGCATAGGAGTCCTAGAGAGCTGTAGATCAGTGTTCTGACCCTACATTCTGAGTGCTTAGAGAGGCCTCAATGATAAGATTCAGGCACGGGGTACAGAACTGACTTCCCAGCACCACCAGTCCTCACCCAAGCTAAATCCTAAACAAATGTCTTTGTAACAGAGGTACTCACTACGTCCTCAGAATTCCACGTAGCCCATGTCACCAATTGGGGCCAGCATCCATATCCTCCATCTTTTAGTTACAGAAGCATTTGTATTTTAACTGGCCCATAGACCACTCATATTAAAAGCTTTACATTCCAGCATCTCTTTTGACCAGTGATTTTGGCAACCCCTGCATTCACTCTTTCCTCCTTTCTCCCCCAGTGGAACAAGGACATGGAGCCAGTGAGTCTACTTGAATCTTGTGATCTTGTGGGTAAGGACAATGTGTGTGGGTTTTTTTTTGGGGGGGAGGGGGAATTGACAATAAGACAGGTATACAACTGCTTCCTGATGATGCAGTAAAGTTAAATTTGCCCAGGAACAATCTGATTACCTCTGAACAACTATTAGGGAGAGAAAATGAATTACCTAGGAGGAGCTCCGGTCTTTAGTTCTCTTTCAGTAGTTAACCTGTGGCTTCATGTAAGTCACAATGAAAGCAGAAATGTCCAAAAGACATTCAAAGGACCCTGGCAACACCCTAAGAAAGTCAGTTCACAAATGACTTCAGCAAACTGGTCATTAAGTGAAAGGCGCCCAGCTGTGTCACCTCTTGACAAACTGCAGATGGGTCCTTGAGCAGAGGAGGGACTTCAGTACAAAATGGCCCACAAAAAGATCAAAGCATGATCACTGTAGCCTAGGCCAAGTCTTCAAGCTGAGGATACAGTTTTCTCTCTCTACTGCAAGGCCAGGATAACTCTGCCCTACCTTTTCCCCTGGCCGCAGGATTAAGTGTCTCCATTCTTCATAATTACCATTCCTCAGAACAGAACAAATCCAGTAAGGCATAAAGTAAAACAGATGTTGATGGGGGGACTGCATGTGGGAAACAGAGGAGGAGAGCCTGGAACCCTGGAACAAACACCATAGCTGGGAAGCAAAAGGAGAGAAGCCTCCATGTCTGCTCAGGGTTTGTGGGGACCAGAACCTAATTGTGCAGCACCTGTTCCTCCTGGGCAGTACCCCTGATAAGAGCTCAGCCAGAGTTTCCAGTCACTAACGAATCCCAGCCACAGGCACCTGCTGCTGCTTGCGGATCTTGTTGAAGAGTTCCATGTACTGGACCATGGTATCTGCTGGGCCATAGACTCCATCATGTCTGTTCCCAAACACGGCAGGAGCCGCTGGTGTGTGGCTGCCTAGAAAACTCTGGAGGAACTCGAGCAGCAAGCTCCAGCAGTCACTCGCCACTACACAGGGGCCATATTCCACCTGGGACCAAAAGCACAGAGAATGAGGGTGAGGATGAGTGCAAGGAAACCCAAAGACATATACTACCTATAGAATGCTGGTCTGCAGAAAATGTTCAAACACACTCCAGGGACTGAATGCACCCAGCACCATTCCTATTGCATCTGATACTCTCATCCTAGAGCTGTGCCAACCCACTGCCCTGTCCACAAGCTCCAGAGGCAGACGCAAGCTCCTTCTGATTAGCCCCACTATGCTGAACAGCAACTCACGGAGAGCTCAGGAAAAGTCTGAGAGACAGCAAAGTGACAAGTAGAAAATATGGAGAGTAGGAAATGGGTGAGGGAGAAGTTATAGCAAGCAGAGTGAACGCAGGAATCTCACAGTCTTTCCTGCCCGGGCTGGCGTAGAACCGCGATCCTCAGATCTCAGCCTCCTGAGTAGCTAGGATTACAGGTGTGAGCCACCAGCACCCAGCTAGGAGTTGTTTACTGGATCTAAGAGTCTCGTGGACTTTCCTGCCCAGGCTAGCTCCTTCTAAGTAGCTAGGATTACACGTGTAAACCATTGGCAACTGGCTTTCATACTTTTTTTGCGGGGGGTCTCGTCGTAGGGCCTGAACTCTAGGCCTGGGCGCTGTCCCTCAGCTCTTCAGCTCAAGGCTAGCGCTCTACCACTTGAGCCACAGTGCCACTTCCAACTTTTTCTTTTTGCTTATGTGGTGCTGAGGAATCGAACCCAGGGCCTCAGGCATGCAAGTGCTCTACCACTGAGCCACCTTCCCAGCCCCTGGCAACTGGCATATATGCCTCTTTTAAAACCAAACATGACTTTCAGTGTAGACCTATGTTAATCCTAAGAATTTCCAGCCAGTGTGGCCTACTACAGCTTTTCTCATAAACTTTCTCTGGAGAAACATCAGGGCAATTTCTCCACAAGGAAAAATAATTAAGGGAACAGCTGTGTGTGTGTATATATACACCAAAAGGATGGAAATGTGGGGACCTGCTGGGTGCCCAAGTGGGGGATGCACATTAAGCCAAGGACCATCACAAGCTAACAAGAGTTAGGAAATCTTGGCCCTGGAAGCTGAGCAGAAACTCCCACTAAGGTCCTTTTCTACTTGGGATTCTTCCCAGACACACTTTTCCCCAAGTATCCCTTTATAAAAGAAATAAATGTATGCATATGTATATATACGCACATTCGTTATTTTAGATTTTTGTTTGAGACAAGGTTTCATTAGGTAGCTCAGGCTGGCCTTGGACTTATAGTCCTCCAGAGTGCTGAGATTACAGGGGTACACCACTACACCTGGGCTCAGGTCTCTACTAAATACTGTTCCTCCAGGAAGCATCATAGCATGGAGTGATGCTCTCACCACTCAAATCCCCATAACCAACTGTGCGTCTTTCATGGTGTTTCTTAGACTAACTTGAAAAATAGTTGTGTATTTCAATTTTTCCTTTATTAAATGGTAAATTTTAAGGAGCCTTGCAAGTCTATGGTGTGTATGTGCATGAGACATTGTTTTAATCTCATACCATGTTGCACATATGGTAGGATTTTCACTGCTCCCAAGGCCAGTGATCACATTCCCTATCATTTTTATTATGTGCACTGTCAGATGCAAAGGTATAGCAAACTCTTTTTTTTTTTTTAAATCTTTATTCAATGGTTTGAAATTTAAACCTGTTTGATGTCCTTCCGTTTTTTTTCTTTTTGCTTATGTGATGCTGAGAATTGAACCCAGGGCCTCGTGCATGCAAGGCAAGCGCTCTACCACTGAGCCACCTTCCCAGCTCCATAGCAAACTCTTTTCTTCCATGAAAATGTATGTGAAAAGGAAAGGTATGTGTTTGCCCCACAACTCCAGAGGAGAGGCATGTGACCCAGGATTGAGAGCCCATATCCCAAACATCAGTCCTGTGTGTTCCAGTATTTGGGAAGGATGCATTGGAACTTATCTGCCCCCTTGACTCTCCCTTCCCTTTTCCGACAAGCCAGCCATCCTAAGCTTTCTATTTGCTATGAGCCTGCTTCCCTCTCCCTCCCTGGGCTAGAGCCTGAATGATTCAAGGAAGCCCAGATGCCCAGTGCCAGCAGTACACTTGGCTCCCAGTCCCCCAGGGTCTTACCTCCACAGAGATGCCCCGAGCACTGGGCCCCATTGCGACGGTGCCCACCTTCACCAGGAAGTCACAGTACTGGTAACGCGTGCCCCGGGTCTCAATCTTGCTGGCCTTGGCACTCTGGAAAAAGCCCTTGAGCTTCACCATCAGCACATCAAAGTTGGTGTCGGCGATAAGGCAAGGGCCGTTCTCAAAGAGGGCAAAGCAGCTCAGTGGGTACTCAGAGTTGTGCATCACGTACATCAGCTTCCCAGCCTGACCTGCAAGGGACAGGCGTCCTACTCACCATCAGGACTTTTGTCAACATATCCCAGGATAGAAGCAAGTGCACAGAACAAGGCCAGATGGCAATCTAGCATTATCTTCTCAGATTAGGATGAGAGGCCCCCTAGAAAGGATAGCCTTTTCCACAAAGGAAGGGAGAGAAGCAGCAGGCTAGACTGCATAGGCTAAAATCTACAAGGAAAAGGGGGAGAGGGCAGAAGCTGAGAGTTGACAATAGCTATGTTGGCTCATAGGCAGATGCTTAATTATGATGACAAACAGCTTGCACAGACTCCATACAATCTTTGACACATTATCGTACATTATGCATTAAGTAAAAATAAGGGATGGAAATGGAGCTCAGTGACAGAGCACTTACCTAGCATGAGTGAGGCCCTGAGTCCCATCCCCAACACCTGGGGGGCGGGGGGATAGAATAACAGCATTTTGGCATCCCTATCTACCCTGGCTACTTCCTTCATTTATATCCAGGAAACGTCTCACAGCTCAGGAAAGAGAGTCTGAGCATGAGGCTGGAAGAGTGAACAAGAGCCCAACTCTGGTTAGTTCAAATAGGTTGGCACTTCATTTGAAAGACAAAGGTGAACACCTGGAAAATTTTAAGAAGTCTGGCTCACCTGGGAATCAGCAGTACACTACCACAAAGAAAAATCAGGATCTAGGATCTAAAGCTCTAGTTTCAAGCATGATCTTTTACAATGGCTGAGTTTTCACATGCATTTGTTTTGTTTTGGGTCATGAGACTTGAACTCTGAGCCTAGGTGCTGTCCCTCAGCTCTTCAGCTCAAGGCTAGCACTCTACCACTGAGCCACCTTCCCAGCCCTGCATTTGCTTTTATTTACTCATTTATTTTGCAGTGCTGGGCAAAGAACCTAGACATGTGTATGCAGGCTATGGAGAAGGAAGGATCTGCCACACAGAAGGAAGACGACATTCTAACAGGTTAAGAGTAGAGCAATGGAAAGGAAGAAAAGGCAGAGGCAAGAGCAGGAACAGTGGGACTACCTTATGCTACATCAGCTAACACATGGCCCCGAAAATCAGCAGGCTCTTCACAGAATCTCTAACCCACATCACTCAGGCCCAGCTGCTAATTTATACCTCCAACCTTCTTCTAAATCCAGCTCAAAACATCATGCGTCAGAGTGCTTGCTTACCAAAGCATGAAGTCCCGAATTCAAACTATAGTACTGCCAAGGAGAACCATGGTTCAAAGCCAGCCACGGCAAGAGAGGCAATGAGACTCTTATCTCCAGTTAATCACCAAAAAAGCTAGAAGTAGATATGACTCAAGTGGTAGAACACTAACACTGAGTGTGAAAATGCTGGGATTACAGGAATATATCACATTTGCTGGAGGGTTTTGTTTGTGTGTGTGATTTTCGTTTGTTTGTTTTTGGTGTTGGGCCTGAGTGCTGTCCTGACCTTTTATGCTCAAGGCTAGTGCTCTAACTAATTTGAACCACCACACTATTTCTGGCTTTTTTTTGTTAATTGGAGATAAGAGTCTCATGGACTTTCCTGCCCAGGCTAGCTTTGAATTGTGATTCTCAGATCTCAGTGTCCTGAGTAGTTAAGGATTATAGGCATGAGCCACCAGTGCCTGGTGGAAAATTTTTTTTTTAATCTTAGAAGTTATTATTTGCACAACTGTGTAAAGCATCCAGAACCAGTGTTGCTATTGCTTTTTATTTTTCTGTCAGAACTAGTGTCTTGTGCTTGCTGCCACACCCCTAACATTGCTTTTTTCTTCTCTTTTAATCAGGCCTCAGAACTTGGGGTCAAATCACAGCCTCCTAAGTAGTGAGGGTTAAGAGGCATGAGCTACCAGTCCCTGGCACTTTCCAACCTTATTATAGAAGACTTGAAGAGATGAATGAGAAAACTGATTTCTTGGGGACAGTAATATATACAGGGGCTTGAAGCTAGATCTTCAGATTCTAATGTACTTCCCCCAAAATAGCTCGTGCTTCCCCCAAAATAGCTCTTTGCTATTATTATGTAACAACCTCATACAGTAGTTCTCAATGTTTCCCATGTACTGACTTACTTGTAAGTACTTTTTTTCTCCTTGTTCTGGTCTTGGGGCTTCAACTCAGAGCTTGAGTGCTGTTCCCTGAGCTTTTATGCTCAAGACTAGCGCTCTACCACTTGAGGCACAGCTCTACTTTTGTTTTTTTTGCTTGTTAAATACAGATAAGAGTCTCACAAACTTTCCTGTCCAATCTGGCTTTGATCCTCAGATCACAGCCTCCTGAGTAGCTAGGATTATATGCATGAGTAACAGGTGCCAGCTGTATGTATATATTTTATAGGTAAGATAACACCACCAGGAAAAACCCAGAAATAGATACCATGCCAAATAGAAGGAATTCATACAGGGGTTGGAAGAATGAAAAAACCAAACAGGATAATCAAGCAAAACAAGCAACAGTAACACAGACCAGGCTCTGGTGGCTCACACCTGTAATCCTAGCTACCCAGGAGGCTGAGATCTGAGGATCATGGTTAGAAGCCAGCCTAGACAGGGAAGTCCATGATACTCTTTATCTCCAAATAACCACCAGAAAACTAGAAGTGGTGCTGTGGCTTTAAGTGGTAGAGAGCTAGACTTGAGTGAAAAAGCTCAGGGACATTGCCCAGGCCCTGAGTTCAAGACCCACTGCCAACAACAACAAACAAAAAACAAGACAGTAACAGGAAACTCTGCCACCCCTAGGGCTGGAAAGACAAAGAAAAGATGTACTGATCAGATCCAGGGATGAGGGATGCCTAGCAAGAGCCAGATCCAAGGAGACCAGCCAAGACTAGAGAGACTACCCAAAGCAGGAGAGGAATACTATGGTCTTCCTTTCTCCTATCTAACCCCACTCCAGTGCTTTGCACTGACCATAGGTAACCACAAGGAGGCTTGGAAAATATAGTTTTCAAGGGAAGTACACAAAACACAAACAATAAGGAAATTTCTGGATATGTGTAGCATCTGGTTCTGGTGATGGTATCAGAAGGGAATGTCCAAACTGATTAACAACATGTATTCATTAAGGCCAGAGATGGTAGATCATGCCTGTAACTGTAGCTACTCAGTAGGCAGGAAGATCTCCTGTTCCAGGCCACTCCAGGCAAAAGTGATTGAAAATCTATTTCAAAAATAAAAGCTAGGTGGACTGGGAAGATAGCTCAGTGGTAGAGTGCCTGCCTTGCATGCATAAGGCCCTGGGTTCCATTCTTCAGCACCACATAAGCAGAAATACTGTGGCTCAAATGGTAGAGTGCTAGCCTTGAGCTGAAGAGCTGAGGGACAGCGCCCAGGCCCAGAGTTCAGGCCCCATGACCCGCAAAAAAAAAAAAAAAGATAGCAATCAATAAAAAGTAGCACATGCCCATCACCCCAGCTATGTAGGAAGAATGAGAGGATTGCAGTCCAGGCCAGCCTGGGATTAAAAAAAATAATAATAAGAATCTGAAAAATAATTAAAATAATAAGGGCTTGAGGCATGGCTAAAGTGATAGAATGCCTGCCTACCCAGTATAAGGCCCTGAATTCAAATTCTGGTACTACAGAAGCAGGGGAGGGTATAGTTCAGTTGTAGAATGCTTATCTTTCATGCAGGAGGCCCTATATTCAATCTTCAGTACTGCCTTCAAACAAAGAAACAAAATTGCTATTAAAAAAATGTTTACTTGCGGGCTGGGAAGGTGGCTCAGTGGTAGAGCGCTTGCCTTGCATGCATGAGGCCCTGGGTTCAATTCCCCAGCACCACATAAGCAAAAAGACAAAAAGCCGGAAGTGGTGCTGTGGCTCAAGTGGTACAGTGCTCACCTTGAGCTGAAGAGCTAAGGGACAGCACCCAGGCCCAGAGTTCAGGCCCCACGCCTGGACCCCCCCAAAAAAAAAAAATGTTTACTTGCCTGTGCTGGTGGCTGAGGCCTGTAATCCTAGCTACTCAGGAGGCTGAGATTTGAGGATCAAAACCAGCCTGGGGGCGGGGTGTAGCTGAGGAGGTGGGAGGGAAGGGATGGTAGGGGGAAAACAAAGGAGGAGGCAACAATGCTGGATAAGAAATGTACTCATTAGTGGTGCTGTAGCTCAAGTGGTAGAGCGCTTGCCTTGAGCTGAAGAGCTGAGGGACAGCACCAAGGCCCAGAGTTCAAGCCCCACCACCGACAAAAAAAAAAAAAAAAGAAGCTCAGGGACAATGCGCAGGCCCTGACTTCAAGTCCCAGGACTGGCCAAAAAAAGAATTACACATGTTTTTGGGGCTGCGAAGATGGCTCAGTGGTAGAGTGCTTGCCTTGCATGCCTGAGGCCCTGGGTTCGATTCCTTAGCACCACATAAGCAAAAAAGAAAAAAGCCGGAGGTGTGCTAGCCTTGAGCTGAAGAGCTGAGGGACAGCGCCCAGGCCCAGAGTTCAGGCCCCACTACCGGACCCAAAAAAAAAAAAAAAGAAATGTACTCATTACCTTGCTCATATAACTGTAACCCCTCTGTACAGTATTTTCACAATAAAAAACTTACAAAAACAAAAAAATAAAATAAAAGCCAGGGCTGGGAAGGTGGCTCAGTGGTAGAGTGCTTCCCTTGCATGCATGAAGCCCTGGGTTTGATTCCTCAGTACCACATAAACAGAAAAAGCCTGAAGTGACGCTGTGGCTCAAGTGGTAGAGCATTAGCCTTGACTAAAGAACTAAGGGACAGTGCCCAGGCCCTGAGTTCAGGCCCCAAGACTGTAAAAACCAACAACAACAACAATCCCTCCCACCCCCACACACACAAAGAAAACAAAAATAAAAGTTAGTGAGTGGCTCAAGGGGTAGAGCACTCCCAAAGCACTCCCAGTATCACCATCAGCACCAAGAGAAAGAAAGGGGGGGCGAGGGAGGGGGGGGGCGGAGGATGTATCCATTAACCCATTAAATGCGTAAAATTTACAATTGTGTGTAATGGCACTCACACACCAAGTGGTCAACCAAGGCTATCTAATGGCTTTAAGGCCAGCCTGAGTTACACAGTGAGATTCTGTAATGCCTCTCTACCATGTGAAATACCCTCCGTTCCATTCTCAGCACTGAAAAATACAAAAATGTTCAAGCAGCTGGGCATCTGTAACCCTAGCTACTCAGGAGGCAGAGATCTAAGGATTGAGGTTCAAAACCAGCCCGGGCAGAAAAGTCCATAAGACTCTTATCTTCGATTAACCACCAGAAAACCAGAAATGGCACTGTGGCTCAAAGTGGTAGAGTACTAGCTTTGAGCTGAAGAGCTCAGGGACAGCACCCAGGCCCAGAGTTCAAGCCCCATAACTAAAAAAAAAAAAAAAGTTCAAGCCACAACATTTAAAACAGCCCCCAGTCTAAGAGATGTTGGATCAAAAATGGATGAATTCAGAAAGATGTCCTACCACATACTTGAGAATATTAACACTGTTAGCAGAAAAGCACAAATGGAACTCCAAGCCAGGTTCCAGTCAGCCCCCAGAGCCATCTACTGACCTTGACTGCCCAGAGTAGCAGCAGCCGTATGGTAAGTCTCACAGTCCACACAAAATGTTCCTTGCTTTTCTGCCCCAAGCATCTCCAGCTTCCGGGTGAGGAGCTCCACTGTTTGTTGGACACTCTTGCCCTCAGCCACAGGCATCTGGGACACACTGGAAAGAAGAGCACCAAGTCAACAGGGTCCAGAGACACTACCCATATACTGACTGAGCCACTTGCTTTCCCACAAAATGACAACTCAGCAGGTCCAGGAGTTTCCTTAGGCAACACTAACACTTGATCCCACCCCTTAAACCTAAGAAAATAAGAGGCAGAATATCTCCCACTGAGGCAGTAAGCGTCCTGTCACACCAAGTTGAGGGTTGGCAGGTGAGCCAACATTCATATACAGATGATAGCCTGTGGGCTGAGCTCTCAGTGATGTGGAATTAGACAGTGAAAAAGGAATTCCTTCATAATGCTTTCAATTCTATATTCATATGTCAAGAAAAAAGTAGATCGCCTTGAGCTGAAGAGCTGAGGGACAGCACTCAGGCCCAGAGTTCAAGCCCCACGACCGACCAAAAAAAAAAAAAAAATATATATATATATATAAAAAAGAAAAAAGTAGAAGTTTGGGGCTACTATGTTTGGGGTTTTTTTGTCAGTTGTGGGTCTTGAACTCTGGGCCTCGCCACTGTCCTGAGCTCTTCAGCCCAAGGTGAGAACTCTACCACTTGAGCCTGAATGCCACTTCCAGTTTTCTGGGGGTTTATTGGAGGTAAGAGCCTCACAGACTTTCCAGTCCAGGCTAGCTTTGAACCATGATCCTCAGATCTTCGCCTCCTGAGTAGCTAGGATTACAGACCACTGACACCCAGCTGTTTTGTTGGGTTGTTTTTTGTTTTTTTTTTTAACTCTTTGAACTTGAGCTGTCTAGTAGAGAGCCACAAGCTACAGGAGGCTAGTGGATAATTTCCTAAACAAGGATAATACAGAGAACATTCTCTACCATCAAAGAACAAAGAACCCTAAGGAACAAAGAGAAAAGCAGGGAGTCATAGTCCTTAAGAGTGAGCAGAGGGGCTGGAAAGGTGGCTCAGTGATAGATTGCCTCACATGCCTGAGGCCCTGGGTTTGATTTCTCAGCACCACATAAACAGAAGACGCTGGAAGTGGTGCTGTGGCTGAAGTGGTAGAGTGCTAGCCTTGAGCTGAAGAGCTGAGGCCCAGAGTTCAAGCCCCGCGACTGACAAGTAATAATAATAATAACAATAATAATAATAGAAATGATATTTAGAAGAATTTAATCAAAAAGTAGAAAAAAATATTTCCAAGGTTTCCTCCTATGGTGAGGCTTTCTACTTGGAATGGTAAGTTAACACACCAACTATGCACCAGGAGAAGCCTAATGCTTTCAGATGAACTAAGTGTTCAAATCTTGCAAACAATCTCTTCCTTTCTTATCTCCTCTCCCATCTCTCCTCTCCCCCTTTCCTCTGTCTCTTCCCCAAGATCTTAAAGTGACCAAACTGGAACCCGAGAGCTTTAAGTGCACGTGCTAGCTCTAAGAAGGAACAAGCAAAGCGTTTTCTTAAAAAAGAAGGAGGAGGAAGAGGCGGAGGCTGGGAAGGTGACTCAGTGGTAGAGCGCTTGCCTTGCATGCATGAAGCCCTGGGTTCAATTCCTCACTACCATATAAACAGAAAAAGCCGGAAGTGGCGCTAGGGCACAAGTGGTAGAGTGCTAGCCTTGAGCACAAGAAGCTCAGGGACAGCGCCCAGGCCATGAGTTCAAGCCCCAGGACTGGCAATAATAATAATAATACCCTGTATTCCCACTGCCTATTCCGCCTCCCCCCTTTACCTCTGTCGACAGCTAAGTCCGAGCTGGGAGGTCCTATGTGCCCCTCACTACAAGTACTATAGCCACAGGGGTTGAAAGATGTACTAAGAAAAAGGGCAGAGGGTACAGAAGCACTGCAGAGGTGCCGGGGAAGACGCTCGCCCCGCCGCCGCCTTCCCGAAGCGTATCCACAAGGAACAGGCCTGGAGAAGGCGCAGCCCGCTCCAGGTCCGCGCCCGGGGGACGGCCCGTGGACCTCGATCCTCTCCTCCGCCCGGGACACTCCAGACTCGGACGGCCCTGCAGGACCTCCAGACCCGCCCTACAGAGGCCATGGCCGTCTTACCAAGTGACTCCCATGGCGTCGGCCCGGGAAGGAGGCAGGAAGAGGGACGCGGCGCTGTCCGACAGCCACAACCACAGAAACCGGGTACCAACCGTAGTCTCCGGAGAGCACGCCGGAAGTACGTAAAAACGAAGCGCCCGGTAGCGGCGCCCACGGGATGGGGCGTGTCTGGGCACTCCTTTGATGACGCGCTAGTCTACGTCATCGTCAAGGCTCCGCCCCTGTTTTGACTGGGCCTAAGGCCCGGATTTGTGAAATTCGAAGAGCGTGACTCCAATCGCCACCACTTAGAGAAGCCGACTTGAAAAATAACGAGTTTATCTGGGAGCTCCGGGAGGCCAGCTTCTGGACTCCCGAGCCTTCTGAAGGGCGGGTCGACGCGTGCTGCACTTCCGGCCTCCTGACAGTAGGTGGCGTGGTGGTCTCGACATGGCCTCTTGAGCACGCGAGTTACTGCGCAAGCGCACTCTGGGCCTTTCGCCACCGGCCCCCCCCTCCCCCCACGTGTGAACTGTCTCCGTAGTTTTTTCGGGGGGAAAAAGATGCCCAAGTTTAAAGCGGCCCGAGGGGCCGGGAATCAGGAGAAGCATGCGCCCCTGGCCGAGCAGATCCTGGCCGGGGACGCAGTGCGCGCCGGGACCCGGGAAAAGCGTCGAGGTCGCGGGACTGAAGAGGAGGAAGAGTACGTGGGGCCCCGGCTGACCCGACGGATCCTGCAGCAAGCCCGGCGGCAGCAGGAGGAGCTCGAGGCGGAGCATGGAGCCGGGGACCGGCCGGCCAGGCCGCGGAAGCGCGCCACGCGGCTGGGTGAGTGCCGGGGCGGCGCCTCGTGCTCGGTGTCTGTCCCTCAGCCCGGCGCCAGGGGCTCGCGCCTGTAATCCCAGCTGCTCAGAAAGCTCAAGTCCGAGCATCGCGGTTCGAAGACCGTGAGAATCGATCTCTAATTAACCACCCCAAAGCCGGAAGCGGAGCTGTGGCTCAAGTGGTGGAGCGCTAGCCTTGAGTACGAAAACCCAGACGTGCGGCACCCTGGCTCTGAATTCAAGCCCTGGTGCCGGCACGCGCGCGCGCGCACACAGTCCGTCGGGAGACTCGTTTGGAATTACAAGAAGGGCACATTACACTAATTTTGTAAGTGTATGTGGAATACCCGTTGTGCTTTGCACTCTGCTAGGAATTTGGATGGGTAAATTCAGACAGGTGTCTTGACTGTAGAACCAGAAGTGTAGCGAGGAGAGACACAGACAAATAGAATAATACACTCGTTAGATAAAGCCACATATTCCTGGTTACAATGGCATTCATCTTAGAGGTCAGTGTCAGGCTTCCAGGTTTTTTTTGTTTTGTTTGGTTTGGTCATTCGTGGGTCTTGAACTCTGGGCCTGGGTGCTGTCCCTCAGCTCTTCAGCTCAAGGCCAGCGCTCTACCACTTGAGCCACAGTGCCACTTCCGGTTTCCTGGTGGTTAATTGGAGATGAGAGTCTCACAGACTTTCTTGCCCGGGCTGGTTTTGAACCGCAATCCTCAGATCTCAGCTTCCTGAGCAGCTACAAGCCTGAGCCACTGGTGCCTGACTGGATTTTTTTTTTGATCTTCAAAGCTGAGACTTGGAAAGCCATTATGGAGTGTTCAGATCTGGGAAAGAAAGGAAAGGAGAGTGGAAGGAAATGGAGGAGAAAAGGGGAAAGGAAACAGGGCCAGATGGAGAAAAGCGAAGTCAGCCTGGAGAGCCTCCCAGGCTAAATAGTGGAGTTCGGGTTCCAACTGGCCCAGACAGAAAAGCTTAAACAAAAAAAATTTTTTTGGGGGGAGGGGTCTAGTCGTGGGCCTTGAACTCTGGGCCTAGGCGCTGTCCCTCAGCTCTTCAGCTCAAGGCTAGGGCTCTACCACCACTTGAGCCACAGCGCCACTTCCGGTTTTTTCTTTTTGCTTATGTGGTGCTGAGGAATTGAACCCAGGGCCTTAGGCATGCAAGGCAAGCACTCTACCACTGAGCCACCTTCCCAGCCCACAAATATATTTTTTTTTAAAGGGCTGGGAAGGTGGCTCAGTGGTAGAGTGCCTGCCTTGCTTGCATGAGGCTCTGGGTTCGATTCCTCAGCACCGCATAAGCAAAAAGACAAAAGCCGGAAGTTGTGCTGTGGCTCAAGTGGTAAGAGCGCTAGCCTTGAGCTGAAGAGCTCAGGGACAGCGCCCAGGCCCAGAGGTTAACGGCCCCACGACCGACAAAAAAAAAAGCCCAGCATATTTTTTGTTACTAGGATTTGAACCCAGCACCTCACACTTGGATAGGCACTTTACCACTTGAGCTGTGTTCCAGCCCCTTTCTGCTTTATTTTTCAGATAGGATCTTGCACTTTTTACCTGGGTCCAGCCTCATACTTTGAGTCTCCTACCTATGCCTCCATTATAACCAGAATTGTTGGCATATGCCTCACCTTTATTGAGATGGGGTCTCACTAATTTTTGGGCAGGCTGGCCTCGAACTGTAATCCTCCCAGTAGCCTCCTCCCAAGTAGCTTATGGATGTGCCCCTCCACACCCACCATTTGGCCACTTCTGATTTTTCATACCCAAGAGATGCTCATAACCAGTTCGGAGTTGTTAACTTAGATCTGGGACAGACTCCTCTTGCACTCAGACTGTCCATTCACAGCCTAATTACATTCTACCCATCCTCTTATGCCCATGCTACTCACTTTGGCCCAGGATCCAGACCATCCAGCTGTGGGCAGATCAGCATTTCTGTGCATCATTGTCCCCTCTGGAACTGGGTGTAATGATGGCTGCAGATGTTGAGGTTATCGAGGTTAACCAGGTGGCACGTGCGATGTAGAACTGTTCCTACTACATAACTGAGGGTGGTGATATGTTACCATTATTCATTGCTATCTCATTATTTCATATGTTCCATTTTGCTTCTCAAGCAAGATTGCAAGCTCCTGGGGACAGGAAGATAGTCTGTATGTGCCCATCTTTTTCTTTGCACACATCTATATTATACTGCATGGCTAAAAATTAAATTGAATGTGGAAAATGCACTGTACAACTTGTAGTAGGGATGGGAAGGGGGAAGTGGGGAAAGCAGAGGAAGGGTTGACATTGTCTAAAAAGAAACATTCACCATCTGATGGTAACCATCTATACAACACCTTAACAACAACAATAAAATTCTACTGAAAAAAATTAAATTGGGAATTGGAAGCCAGTGGCCCACACCTAAAATCCTATCTACTCAGGAGGCTGAGATCTGAGGTTCGAAGCCAGCTCAGGTAGGAACATCTTTAAGACTCTTACCTCCAATTAATCAGCAGCAAATGGGAAGTGGTAGAGCACTAGCCTTGAGCAAAAGAGCTCAGGATGGCACCCAGGTCCCAAGTTCAAGCTCCACAACCAACAATAAAAACAAAAAAATGAAGCTAGGAAAATGGCTTAGTGGTAGAGTGCTTGTCTAGCATGCAGGAGCCCTGGGTTCAAGTCCTTAATACCACATAAACAAAAAAGTCTGGAAATGGTGCTGTGGCTCAAGTGGTAGAGTGCTAGCCTTGAGCAAAAGAAGCTCAGGAATGGTGCCCAGGCTCTGAGTTCAAGCTCCAGGACTGGCAACAACACCAACAAAATTGACCCAGAAGCCCTTGTGTCACTCCTAGCCATTCTCATCCCTTCATCTTCCCTCCTCCAGGGCCGGGATTGCCACAGGATGGATCGGATGAGGAAGATGAGGAGTGGCCTACCCTGGAAAAGGCAGCCAAAATGTCTGGGATGAGCCACCAAGCCGAGGTGGTTGTAGACCCGGAGGACGAACGTGCCATGGAAATGTTCATGAACAAGAACCCTCCAGTCAGGTAGGCCTGGGAATTCAGCCAGTGCCCTTGCCCACCTTCCCTTCCTCACCTCCGCAAAGCGTCTGAGCATTGCTAGTTGTAGGGAACCACATTGGCCAAATTGGACCTTCCCATCCTCAGAGGGAAGGGCCCAGATTCTCTGGGGAAACAGCTGTAGTTGAAGACTCTCCAGGACAAAAAGTTATCGAGACTCCATCTGATCGGTGTTTCCAGCTACTCTGGGAGCATAAGTAGGAAACTCACAGTTTTGAGAGAGGCCTGGGCAAAAAACATGAAAACCTGTCTGAAAAAAAAACTACTGCAAGCCAGGCGCCGGTGGCTCACGCCTGTAATCCTAGCTACTCAGGAGGCTGAGATCTGAGGATCGTGGTTCAAAGCCAGCCCGGGCAGGAAAGACCGTGAGACTCCTATCTCCAATAAACCACTAGAAAACCAGAAGTGGCGTTGTAGCTCAAGTGGTAGAGTGCTCGCCTTGAGCTGAAGAGGTGAGGGACAGCGCCCAGGCCCAGAGTTCAATCCCCATGACCAACAACAACAACAAAAAAAACTACTGCAAGAAGGGCTAGAGGCATGGCTCAGATGGTAATGTGCCTGCCTAGGCAGCACAGGATCTTGGGTTCAAACCCTAGTGGCTCCAAGAAGAGCTTTACACGCTTCCATCCCTCCCACCCCACCCACCCACACAAATGTGAGTTCTTAGCCTCCTGAGCCTGCGTTCCCAAGTCTGTATAAGGGGAATAAAAACACCTCTCATAATGTCACGTATGTGTCACACGAACTACATAAAGTAGTGTCTGGGGAGTCCCAAACTCGGTGCCTCCCAACACTTAAAGCAGCGCTGGGGACTGAACCCTGGGTCTCAGTAGTGCTGAGCAGGTAGCACCCGGAGGGGGTTTCCAGTGCACATTGGCAGCCTGGGACCACAGCCCAGAGCAATGGCGGCCCCGCACTGTACGGTGGGACTGTGTGGTGCGTCCTGCTGAAAGAGGCTGAGGAGAATACAACTGCTCTTAGGAAGACTGCCACAGGTTTTTAATAAATAACGAAGCTGCTTGAACCCGGGCACCCTAGACAGTGCAGAGCGGAGACTTGTGATTGGAACGATGTCCCCTCTGCCAGCTCAGGGTGGGTATATCTCTAGCTGGCATTCCCTGCCTACAGAGTCCTTAAGTTAACCATGGGGGGTGGGCAACACTTGAGGGAAACTGAGGCATGGTCATAGGCCCAAAGTTATAACAGAGTGGGAAAGCCAGGATTTAAACCTGAGCAAGCTGACTTCTTAACCTCTGCTGGCTGCCAGCTTTGTCCTAAACCAAACAACTCAGGACCTTTTGCTCTCTGCAGCCATTTGTGGTGGGTGGACAGACACGGTGGGCCGAGGCTACTTGCTCTCAAGGATTGTGGCTAGCATCCCAAGCCTCCTGGGCAGTGACCATCGCTCCCTCCCTGTCCCGCTCAGGCGCACCCTGGCAGACATCATCATGGAGAAACTGACCGAGAAGCAGACGGAGGTGGAGACGGTTATGTCGGAGGTGTCAGGCTTCCCCATGCCACAGCTGGACCCCCGGGTCCTGGAGGTCTACAGAGGGGTCCGAGAGGTACGCGCAGGGAGGGCAGCCAGGGTGACATACCTGTACAGGGGTGCCAGGCTCAAGACATGGGTCCCCCGACCGGTGTCAGATAACATGACGGCTGGGGAGGAAGGAGGCAGAGATTGCGGGTTCAGATTCCTGCCCTGCCTGCAGAGGCCGAGGGTAAAGACACTGAACTCTGATCCTCAGGAGAAAGGATAGTTACGCGGTGCCCGTGCTGCGGGGAACCTGGTGGGTGGTGAGTGCCGACGGTGGCGAAGGTGCCTGAGCTTGCCGCCCCTTCCCGTGCGCATGCTCAGGTCCTGTCTAAGTACCGCAGCGGGAAGCTGCCCAAGGCTTTCAAGATCATCCCTGCACTCTCCAACTGGGAGCAGATCCTCTACGTCACAGAGCCTGAGGCCTGGACTGCGGCCGCCATGTACCAAGCCACCAGGTAGTGAACATGGGTTCAGATGGCTGCTCTGCAGGGGAGGCGTGGGGTGCCCAGCTCTCGCAGCTTTTACTATCAAATTGGAGCTGTGGTCAAAGCTCTCTCCTAGCACCATTCACAGCTCTGCTGCCTTCAGCCTGGGTGCCAAGACCCAGTTGGCAGCCCCTTGAGTGAACCTCTAGGGAAAAGCTATGGCTATTGAGACATACAGAGTGGCCTCAGAAGTACGTGGCTCCGCCGGGCGCTGGTGGCTCACGCCTGTAATCCTAGCTACTCAGGAGGCTGAGATCTGAGGATCGCGGTTCAAAGCCAGCCCGGGCAGGAGAGACCATGAGACTCCTATCTCCAATAAACCACCAGAAAACCGGAAGTGGCGCTGTAGCTCAAGTGGTAGAGTGCTCACCTTGAGCTGAAGAGAACAGGGACAGAGTTCAAGCCCCACGACCGACAAAAAAAAAAAAAGAAGTACGTGGCTCTCCAGGCAGGCTCAAGTCCCTCATGACAGCAGAGTAGAGGAGACCCATGATTTTGGGGGGGGAGGGTGGAGAAACAGCTGAGGAAAACCAAAGATTTGGCTGGAGGGTGTGGCTATGGAGCACAGGACTTACCTAGCACACTAGAAACCCTAACATTTAAAACATGCATGCCCACTGGGCACCCGTGGCTCATGCCTGTAATCCTAACTACTCAGGAGGCTGAGATCTGAGGGTCACAGTTCAAAGCCAGCCCGGGCAGGAAAGACCATGAGACTCCTATCTCCAATAAACCACCAGAAAACCGGAAGTGGCGCTGTGGCTCAAGTGGTAGAGCGCTCACCTTGAGCTGAAGAGAACAGGGACAGAGTTCAAGCCCCACGACCGACAAAAAAAAAAAAAAAGAAGTACGTGGCTCTCCAGGCAGGCTCAAGTCCCTCATGACAGCAGAGTAGAGGAGACCCATGATTTTGGGGGGGGAGGGTGGAGAAACAGCTGAGGAAAACCAAAGATTTGGCTGGAGGGTGTGGCTATGGAGCACAGGACTTACCTAGCACACTAGAAACCCTAACATTTAAAACATGCATGCCCACTGGGCACCCGTGGCTCATGCCTGTAATCCTAACTACTCAGGAGGCTGAGATCTGAGGATCGCGGTTCAAAGCCAGCCCGGGCAGGAGAGACCATGAGACTCCTATCTCCAATAAACCACCAGAAAACCGGAAGTGGCGCTGTGGCTCAAGTGGTAGAGCGCTCACCTTGAGCTGAAGAGAACAGGGACAGAGTTCAAGCCCCACGACCGACCAAGAAACAAAAACATTCCTCACAGAAAAAAACACCCTATTTGGGGGCATCCTGTTGCCTCTCCTGTGCCTCTCTAAGCCGGCCTGGGGCAGGCACACAGCTCCCACAACTCCTCCCTACCTTTGGGTCAAATCCTGCACCCTCCACAGTGACATTTAAAATGCCAGGTGGAGACTTATTCTGTGACTTGGCAACTCCCACCCCACTAGGATTTTTGCCTCTAACCTGAAGGAACGCATGGCCCAGCGCTTCTACAACCTCGTCCTGCTGCCCCGGGTGCGAGATGACATAGCCGAATACAAGCGCCTCAACTTCCACCTCTACATGGCACTCAAGAAGGCCCTGTTCAAGCCAGGAGCCTGGTTCAAAGGTGAGAGCCCAGAGGCCAGGGAGGAAGGAGAGCGAGGCGCTGTCCTCCACGGGTCATTGAGACACATCTGACTTGGGCGTGGCTGGCTGTCTCTTGGGCAAGCATTCCCAGGAGGGTCCCTGGGGTGTCTGGACCTCCTGCGTCTCAGCTCAGACTACAAGTGACTGCTCTCTGGCCCTGCCCAGGAATCCTGATCCCACTGTGTGAATCGGGCACATGTACGCTGCGGGAAGCCATCATCGTGGGAAGCATCATCAGCAAGTGCTCCATCCCAGTCCTGCACTCCAGGTGAGTGTCACGGGTGGGGTGAGGGGTTAGCTGGCAGGACTTGAGCATGGGGGACAGAGGGGGGGAAAACTATGCATGCTCTGAGTTAAGGTGTCATCACACCATTAGAATGCAAGAATAAGATACCCAGAGCCTAGCATGTAGTACGTGCTCAGTAAATGGCTGAGTGAGTGACGGTATGGGGACCTGGGAGAAAGTAAGGACTGCTTGTAGTCCCAGTCAGAGGCAGGAGTGGAGCAGGTGTATGTGGAGATGGAGGCTGGCATGCGGGAGTACAGTGAGGTTGCCTGAGTGAGGAGACACTTCTGATGGGCCCCTGGGGAACACCGTAGTGAAGGGCCGGCAGAGGGCCAGGAGACTCAGGATTGCCCCCTCCTCCCCTCTTCCTGCAGTGCGGCCATGCTGAAAATTGCTGAGATGGAATACAGCGGTGCCAACAGCATCTTCCTGCGACTGCTGCTGGATAAGAAGTACGCGCTGCCCTACCGCGTGCTGGACGCGCTTGTCTTCCACTTCCTGGGCTTCCGGACAGAGAAGCGCCAGCTGCCTGTGCTCTGGCACCAGTGTCTCCTGACATTGGCCCAGCGCTACAAGGCAGACCTGGCCTCAGACCAGAAAGAGGCCCTCTTAGAACTGCTCCGACTGCAGCCTCATCCACAGCTATCCCCCGAAATCAGGCGTGAGCTTCAGGGCGCAGTCCCCCGAGACGTGGAGGATGTCCCTGTCACCATGGACTGAGAAGCGTCACTGTCCTGGTCCAAGAGGCGTGAGGGGGAGGGGGGAACGGCACCAGAACTTCTTGGTGGCCAAGGATGACACTAGCTCCCAGGTTCGTGACAGGACCTTGGGGGCATCTGTGGCTCCTATGCCCTTGGTCCCCTCCCTGTACTCCACGTGACTGGCTCCTAGTAGACCTTGGTGCCTGCTCATTTCTGGAACCTGACTTGAGGCTCCACACGCCAGCTAGATCTTGAGTACTTCCTCTCCAGCTGTGCTGCTGGCCACTAGGATGTAGATTAAACAAAGGAAGGTATTTATTGAACCTCTGTGCCTTGTGTAGTCATGGGGACCTTTCTACTTCCCTCTGGCTGCAGATGGGGGTTGATCTTCCTATTCTTGTCTCAGGAGGCCCCCCACCCCTTGAGCTCCAAGTTCCTTTCTCCAGGCTGTTTCCTTACCTTTTTGGTACTCGCGACCCTAGGGCTACTTGGGCAGTGCCTTCCTGTCTGAAAAGGACTCCGGCTGAGGCAGCCTGCACAAGAAAGGACTGCCCCTGCCCCCGCCCCCAGACAGGCAGGAAACAGGAACAGTTGGGTCTAGGTTAGCACCACACAGGTCTCTTCCTAGCTTTCTGGCAAGGAAAGCTTTAAACCAGTGAGGAGCAAGCTGGCCAGATGCTGTTGGCAGAGCAGATGAACAAAAAATGATTCACATTTTGAAATAAGAGTGGGGGCAGTTAAAAGGACAGCCAGTTTGTGATGCTGAGACAGGAGAATCACATAAAACCCAAGTTCAGTGCCCATGGGTTTTATGTGGCACGATTCTACCTACCCCACCCATCTTATTTCCTGTGGCTGCCTTTTGTCAACACCAGCATTGACGGTCAGGCCACTGTAGATCTGGATGATTTATTCCAACCTACTTGGGGACTGAAATTTTTAAAAATTTAAGTTTGCTCCTGATACAAATTTCACATCTGCTTATATGTAACTTAATTTTAGCAGGCACTGGCCAACTATAGCAAACTACTCAGCTGAACTAAGCCAAATCACCCCCCCCCAAAGCACCAGTTCCTCACCCCACTTCCTGTGGGGTACATCCACATCCAAGGGGTGCTGCTTCATTCCCACCCCTGTACCAGACCATATCCCTCTTGTAAGTGCAAAGATTATAGGCCATCCCCCCAAACCTGGCTTTGGCTTCATTCTGTGCCTCAAGCCCCAATTTCCACGGCCCCACGAGCTTTGCCATGCATTTTCCGTAGTGCTCAGCACTAGTGATTTTTAGGAATGCCTACGTCAAACCAAGCCCAACCCACCGGGGCAGAGACCATCTGGCTCTCTCCATCAGGCACTCTGCTCAGACACGTGACTTCTGCCTCCTCACCTTATGGCCCCTGGAAACAGACTAAAACCAAGCCATCGCAGAAGCCAGAGCCAGTTTTATTCCAGAATTTTTATTAAGGCAGCATGATGGTCCTGGGCCACCAGCCGGAACCTTGTGACCTTAGGAAAGACCTGTGTCGATGGGGCTTGCCTCCCTCTCCAGACGGGAGCTCGGTCACCTCCAGGGTCCCCCACATCCTCCCACTGGAGGCTGGGGCAGAGGGCCAGAGGGAGAGGGGGGCATGGCCCCACCCCAGGCTGTAGCAGCTCCTGGGTCAGTGATCCTCTAGCTGGTAGCAGAAGGAAGGGAATCAGCAACCACCAGGGTTACTACCACTTAGGGGGTACAGGCCCCACTGTACCCTTATAGTTGTATTCAATGCAGTTAATAAATTAAAATGACCTCATCCTTCAGCACCAAACCCTCAATCACAAGCTGAGCGGAAAGCAAAGCAAAGAGGGATCTGTTTGTTGGTTCTTAACCCTCTGACCAAGGCCTCCGCCCTTCCCTCTAGGAGCAGCTGGGAGCATGGATTATATAAGGGGCCTCCAAATCGCTGAGGGAAGCCATCTCAGCTACATTCCCCCTCATGTCAATCAGGATGCTTGAAGGACCCCAATCCAAATGCAATAACCCTAGAAGGGGCAACACCTTCAGAAGGCACTGGGGCATTTTGGCAGTTAAGAACATGAGAACCCCAAAAGGGCAGGGATGGGGCAGGGGGAGCCTCAAAAGGGAATGCTGGTGCATGGATTTTACCTGTTCAAATTCGTCTGACCAGCCAAGGCCCAGCTGCATTTAGTCAAGGCAAGAGCTGAGCTGGTCGGGGGGGTGGGAAGAAGAGGGGCTGGCTGGCCAAGCAGGCAACATGGCCACCCAGGCCCCTTAGTGCACTGCGGGGATAGGCAGAGGGCCTGGCCCCTTGGGGTTTGTGAGGGGGGAGGAGGAGCCCCCTCTAGCTTCAGATGTGGCGTGGATTGTTCTAGAAGCAGGGAGGGGATGGCAGCGGCCCCTCCTCTGCTTGTGGCCACTCGAGGGGGCCTGTCCTGGGCTACAGGTGGATGGCGGTGACATCTGTGGGCGTGCTGGTCTGGCTGGGCCCCTGGCTGCTGGAGCCCCGGGGGGCTTTGGGTGCTGGGCTGGGGGTGGGCTGGGCAGCTTCCCTGAGGCTCTCCCTAAGCGCAGCTTCAATCTGCTCCTGGCAGGCCCGCAGGCAGTCCTGGGAACAAGAGAACAGTGAAGAGCAGCTCTCTCCAGGGCATCTGGCAGCAGGTGCAGGGAGGGAAAGGATGCCTACGAGGAGGGAGGCCACAGCCCAGCCCACCATCAGTCTTCAGTTCTCAGAAACTGGCAAGAGGATGTGGCCAGAGGATGCACAGCCCTGCATCTAACACCAAAGCCCCACCCTCACCACAGCACACCCCTTAGCAAGAAAGGGGGGCCTACAACACCAAGACAGGAGTTATAAAGATGGCCAGAAAAGCAGGCAAGGGTGTGGGAAAAGTAGGAGCTGGGCCGAGGTTGGAGATGCCTCCCTCTAGTGGAGGCTTGGGGAACAGCAAAGGGCAGGGAAGCCCGGCAACTCACCACTTCAGTGCCTGTAATGCCGGCCAGCAGCTCAGTGAGCTCATCCCCGGACATGGAGCAGGCGCCCAGGCCTTGCACTGCCGCCCCGATGCTGCCCGTTGCGATCATGGAGGGTGGGTACATGGCGAAGGTGTAATCTTGGAAAGCAGACGAAACCATGAGACAAGGAAACCTTAAGACTAGATATGATCACTCCAAAAAGTAGAGGGAGGTGGGGAGGGGGAGGGGGAATAGACCAGAGCAGGGGCATTCTGGGAAAACCCAGCAGGGCAAAGGAGAAAAGCAGGAAAGGGCCTCTTTCTTAGAAAGGATCAGGTTTGTGTTTTGGTTTATTTTGAGGGTTTGTGGCGCTGTTGATCCAACACAGGGCTTCATTTTACCAGGCAAGGTCTCTACCCCAAGCACAAGAAGATGGGGGTAAATAGCAAAATGTCCATCCATCCAGAGTGGATAACCCAGGGACTGGAGGATGCATGAAGCCAACAGCTTGAGACTTTGGGCAAATCCCTCCTGACTAATACAGGGAGCAGTCATCAGGACCTGGGTAGCTCTGACTATTGAAAATGGAAATGCAAAAAGAGCACTGCTTTCTCAAATAAATTTTGAGAACACACAGCAAATCATCTAGATACTTCTCTACCCTTCCAAATTTAAAAAAAAAAAAAAGTGTGCAGGATTCTTACCGGTAGCGCACAGGGCCAAAAAAGTCTGGGCATGCTTTTTGACCAAGGCCTGTCGGTCAGTGGGCAGAGAGAGTCGGTGCAGAATCAGGGCCAGGAAATCATGTGCGATCACAGCCGCCAGGTCCCACTTGAGCTTCCCCAGGACCAGCACCTCCCATTCCTGGGGACAGGGGAGGAAGATGGAGTCAGCGCTGGGGAACACACAACGCTCCCTGAGAAGGAAACCCATCAAACTCTGGAAGCTGAGACCTGGGTTCTGCGTCTGGATTTAGGGACAGGCATGTGGGGCACAGAACAGCGGGGGACATTTGCTTTCATCGTTTTACAAGGTGCTAGGACTTCACGAATTACCCCCTTTTACTCCTCATTTCAGCACCCCATGAACTTGAGGCTCCTCTCCAAACCTTAAGGGGTTGAGATGTCACTGCTAGCCTCCCTCTCCCCCCCCCCCACCAATTCTACATCTCAACCAAGTCTACCCCTCCTTAAAGGAACAGAAGTTAGCAAGAGGCTGCTCCTGTGACACAATCTCAGAGGTTCCTCAAAGGGGAGGTTGCCCAACCCAACCCACATCCCCTCGGTGGCACCTCAGGGGTGGATGCCGGGGCGGCGCACTCCACCCTACTCTAGCTAGAACCCTTCGTGCCTAGTGCCCCTTGGCTCAGGAGAGCAAGGACAGATAGGTCATGTGACCCCTGAAGGACCAAGCTGCATCCCCATGTATTTGCCCACCAAGCCTACATACCAGTGCTAGGTCTTGGAGGTAGGAGGGAACCCCACCCCTGTCTACTCAAAAGTCTGGGGTTCCCAGACCTGGCTCCATTTCCGAGTTGCACACATGAGGATTTCTTCATTGTTTTATCTCAGGAAGGAACTCGTGGGTTTGACTCCTATTGAGGCAGGAATGGCAGCCCCACCCAAACCTTCCAGATTCCCCCCATCCCCCCCAAAGCTGTCCCTCTCAGCGCCTTCCTCCCACCTAGGTGTCAGCCCCAAACTTCTCAGGCCCCACAGAAAGAAGAAAACAGTCTGAGAAGGTGCTAGAAGTAAGGCAGAGAAGCAAGGCTTCTGCTGCCAGAGCCAGACAGGATACCCAGCTTCAGAGGGAAGGCCGCAGAAGACATCTGCCTAAGGGCTCTGAGTGTGGGGAGGCCGGGGTCCCAGTGTGGGGAGGTAGCTCCCCCCTCCCCTGTACTCAGATGACCAGCCTTGCTTGGACAAGCTGCAGTAGCAGGAATGGACCCTGGCTGAGCTGAAGGCATCCTGGCTGGCTCAGTGTACTGCTTAAGCCGAACCTCTCCCTCCTTTCCTGGGCCCCAACCTTCAGGGCTGTGTGAGGCTTTATTCTGGCGTTCTTTTTCAGACTTCCCTCCCAACTTGTCTGACCTTATAGGAAGTTGTCTGCACTCCACCCCCAGCCCAGGCAGGCAGGCAGGGAAGAAGAGTTCTTTCTGTCTCTTCTGATCTCCCCCAACACACAGGCGGGTACCTCACCCTAATCTTTACACAAAGAAGTCCCTTTCTACCTTCCACCCCCAGCCCCTCCAAAAACATCCTGCTCCTTGCGCAGCCTTGGGAAACCAGCTCCACCTTCAGATTTGCCCCCAACTCCACCAGACTTGTCCCAAAGAGCTGTGGGGCCTCCCAGAATCCCATCTCTGAGAGCTACTTGGCAGGAAGAGGAATCCAGTTCCCCGACTCACAGCAGTCAGGGGCCCCAGTACCCTCGCTTCCCCGCCAGCCAATCACAGCCGCCGCCTTGCTGCCCTCCTCCCTGGGACATGGGGCCCAGAAACTCCTCTCAGGGTCAGGAGAAGTCTTGGCTGGCCTGTCAGCACAGCAAGGTGAAGGGAGGTGCCAACGCATCCACCCCCTCCCTGAGGCCCCAAAGGAGGTGATGTTCAGGCCCCTAAATGCCCCCCACACAGAACACTTCTCCAGAGGAACCCAACCCAAGTTCCCAGCAAGAGGCCCAAGGAGCCACTTCCCAACCACAGAGTGCCAGCAGCTCCCCACAGGGTTATGAAAGCCTTGGGCAGGAGGGGAGGGCCAGGGGAGGGGGCGTCAGGACCACATCGGAAGCAGCTGCAGCGCGGCCTCTGTCCGTCTCTCCCATCCCGCTTTCCGTCAAGAGGGAAAGGGAGAGACTTTTCCACTGGCCCACAGCAGCTGCTGCACTTTTTCAGAATGAGGTCGAGGAAAGGAAGATTAGGAAGGAACTGTGTCTTTGGGGAACAGAAGGGAAGGGGGAAAGAAAGGTGGGTGGGCTGAGACACCTTAGCAAGTCCTTCCCAGCAATTAGGGGCCTGCCTTTAATCCACTCAGGGAAGCTATTTTCTATCACAAAGTCCACGTGGGGGATAAGGACTCAATGGAGGCAGCCCCCTCCCCCACATAGAGCACATTCCACTCCCCCACTCCAGCGGGGGGTGCCCAGGCATGCCCCAGGGTTCCCCATAAATAACTCACAGTGTCTATGTTAAGCCCAGAGGCAAAGCCGTTGTGTAGTTGGCCTTGTTGCTATCTGGGGGAAAGACTAGGAAAGCTGTCGCACCCCTGAGGTCAGATGGAAGTTTACTTAAGTTCAGGCCTGCCACCCCAACCATCACACGGCATTTGACCCACCTTTGTGGGACTCCAGTCCTTCCTCTCCCCCCACCCCACGAAAAAAACCTACCCGCCCTTTCCCACGGGGAAAAACACCTCTGAAGTCTGGTCTTTTGCAGGATAATCAAGAGACAGATGTGTTGGGGGGGGGGGTTTACACACGCACCCGCAACTGCCAGGCAGCCACAGCTTGGTCGGTGTAGAGGCACAGTTTCTCGATGGTCAGGGGCGTGGTCTCCCGCAGCTTGGAGGCCAGCAACAGGCAGACTGACCCCAGGAGCTGCAACTGGGCCTTTCGGGTAGGGACGCAGGACAGGTAGCGATCCAGGTAGTTCATGGCCAGGGGGAAGACTTCCTCCTCGCAGCGCTGCTCCTCGCATACCTGGGGGTGGCACACAAGTCACTCCGGGGCTGGGGTGGGGAAACACAGCGGGCGGGGGGGGGGGAGGGGCAACGAAGAGCCTCAGTGGGAGTGGGGATGTGCCCCCCCACTTCCTCACCAAGATTCCAGGCCCCCTCCCCCACGGAGGGAGGAAGGGGGAGCGGGCGGGTCACCGCAGTGGCCAGAGGGCTGGGACCTAACCCCCATTTCCACCACCCGCGGAGCACACCCCAAAGGGGGAAGGGAGGGGACCCCGGCCCGGGTTCCCTCTCTGCTTCTTCCTGCCGACCGGAACCGTACGTGGGCCACCCCCGCCGGCTTCCCCGCCAGAGCCCATCACACACACACACCACACCAAGAAACCAGTTCACACAAGCACACACACGGGAACCAGCACTCGCAGGACTAGCTCTCACACACACACACACACACACACACACACACACAGGAACCAGCACATGCGCGCGCACATGCGCATACAGGAACCAGCACGCGCGCACACACGCACACGCAGGAACCAGCATACTCGCACACATAGGAACCAGCACAGGTGCACGCGCACGCACACACAGGAACTAGCACACGCGCATGCACACGAGCCAGCACACCCACAGGAACCAGCACACGCGCCCAGGAGCGCCGCTCGGAGCCGCGGTGGGGGAGGGCGCCGGAGCCGCACGGAAGCCTAGGGGAGGCGGTGGCCCTTGCCCCGCTTTCCCGGCCCGAAGAGAAGCGGAGTGACCGCGCCGAGTGACCCGCAGTCACAGCCCGAGGGAGCCGATCAGGACGGGGGGGGGAGGGAAGTGGGGGACACGGGGGCAACTGGATGGGGCGCCCAAGGGCCAGGCCCGGAGGCTCGGGGCCATCGGGTCACCCCGCAGCGTAGCGGGGCCCACGCTGTCCCCACGAGGGGCCGGGGGAGGGGGAGGGGGGCGGTCGGCGGGGAGAAGCGGGTCCCGTCCCCGCGTACCTCCAGCATCCAATATGCCAGCATCTTCCGCATCTGCGGCTTGATCTCCTTCTGCACGCACTGGAAATAGGAGGCCCGGGGCACGTAGCGCTCCTCCAGGCGGAGCAGGCTCTGCAGGACACGCTGGTCCCCGAGCAGCCGCGGGTCGGGCCCGGCCCGGGGCGCGTGCCGGGTGCCCTCGCAGCACAGCAACTCCATACTCGGGGCCGGGCGAGAATCGAGAGAGCAGATCGGGAAGGCGGGAGGGCGGGCGGGCGAGCGCGGGGTGCAGGCCGGGAGAGCGCGGGGTGCGGGCGGGTCTGGCGCCGGCGCTGGCACTGTGCGGAGAAGCCCCGGCCCGCCCGCCACCCGCGCGCGCGCCGCTTCCCTGACAGGCGCCCCGCCCCTCGCGACGATGTAGCAACCGTGGAATGCTCGGACGTCGCGACGTCCCGGAGGCGGGGCCGCGCGAGCGCCCAGCGGAAAGGACTGGCGGGCGCCCGCCCCGCCCTCCGCGGGGCCCCATTGGTCCGCGGGGCCGGGGCCTGCGGGCTTCCGGGCCCTCCCGCCCCAACTCGTCTGAGGGGGCAGAGAACTTTCTGGGAGGGTGCTTTTCCCCCTCCACCTCCCCCCCACGGGCCCTCCCATTTTGCTTCTCGGACTCTAGTCTCCCGGAAAAGAACTTCGCTGCGAAGGTCATTCATTCATTCATTCATTCTTCATGTCTTCCCGCGCCCAGCCCTCCTTCACCCACAGCTTGCAGCAGGGAGTGTGCTCACAGCCCGAGGTCTTAGTGAAGACCGGGGGTTAACTTAGCAAATTTTCAAGCAAACTCTAAACATTTTATCTTCTTACAGATGAGGAGCCTGAGGCCCAAATGCTGCAAAGGCTCAAACTTCTCGGTCGGGGGCAAAGCTTGCATGGGGAAAGCTGGCCATCTTGTTCCAAAGTCTTGTATTCTTGTATTTCTTCTTTTCTACTTAATGTAACTGCATGGCCTAGGGGTTCGCAAACAAAACAAAAACCCTTCTGAGGACTATGTTCATTTTAGCTAGATTCCTGTGTACTTCTAGGTCTGAACAGCTATGGTCTAAATCAACACTTAGAGAAATACAACAGATCATAATGACCATGAGTTCAACCCTAGTCGTTGTTGATTGGGTCGCCATAGTTTCTGTTTGAGCAAAACCTGAGTGCAGAGACTAGATACTCCTTACAGAAATTCTTGTGCAGACTCTCTGTGACCTTCCACCTCTCAAACTCTGGGTTACTTTGTAATTCCCCCTCAACTCCACATTCCTAGATCGCACACGACCAAAAAGTAGACCACAAACATGTAGAAATGTTGCAAATCAGAGGAGGCTCTGAGGATCCCTGCCTCTCCTGGTGCCCTAAAGATAGGAGGACCAAGGAAGTAACTAGAAAAACACTGCATATAGAAAGTGCAGGAGGCTGGGAATGTGGCTTAATGGTAGAGTACTCGCCTAGCATGCGTGAAGCCTTGGGTTCGATTCCTCAGTACCACATAAGTGGCACTGCATCTCAAGTGCTAGCCTTGAGCCAAACAAGGGCAGGGACAGTGCCCAGATGCTGAGTTCAAGCCCCAGGACTTGAAAAAAGAAAAAGAGCAGGATCTATACCAACCATTTGCAAGAAATTCTCTTTTCTTATAATCAGTTCTATGATATTATTTTGGCAGTACAGAGGTTTAAACTCAGGGCCTTGTACTTACTAGCCAAGTGTTCTACCTTTAGTTAGACACCACCCCCTCAGCTAGGTAATAAACTTTATTATAAGGGAGTTTTCATATCCTGAAAATATCCTTTTGTACTACAGAGGAGGTAGAGGAAAACATGAAATTTCACCATCCTGAAATAACTCTTTAAGATGTTGATGACTGGAGGCAGGCACTGTGGTTCACAGCTATTATGAGTAGCTACTCAGGAGACAGTGATATGAGAACCAAAGTTTGAAGCAAGCCTGGGCAGGAAAGTCCACAAGACTCTTATCTCCATTTAACAAGCAAAAAGGTTATGGTCTTGGAATGTGGCACAAAGCCCTGGGTTCGATTCCTCAGCCAGAAGTGGTGCTGTGGCTCAAGTGGTAGAGCTCTAGCCTGAAGCAAAAAGAAGGTCAGGGATGGGGCCCAGGCCTTGAGTTTAAGCCTCAGGAAGTGGCACAAGGAAAAAAAATAGTTGATGATTAGAAGTAGAGGTGTGGCTCAAGTGGTAGAGGTCCAGCTTTGAGTGGAAAAAAACAAGCAAGGGGGGCTGGGAAGGCGGCTTAGTGGTAGAGCGTTTGCCTTGCATGCATGAGGCCCTGGGTTCGATTCCTCAGCACCACATAAGCAAAAAGAAAAAAAAAGCCAGAAGTGGCACTGTGGCTCAAGTGGTAGAGTGCTAGCCTTGAGCTGAAGAGCTGAGGGACAGCGCCCAGGCCCAGAGTTCAGGCCCCATGACCGGATCCCAAAACAACAACAACAACAACAAAAACCAAGCAAGGGCTCGAGGCCCTGACCTCAAGCCTCAATATCATTTAGCATTCATGGACACACCCACACACACACATGCACACACACACATACACAGAGGCTGATAGTTATTTTTCGACTTCTCTTCTGTGAATAGCAGTGTTTTCATGGTATCATAAATCTTCCACTAAAAAAATATTGTTATAACTTTTGTATGGTATTAAATATGCAATGACATCTTTTTGCCAGTCCTAAGGCTTGAAGTCTGGGCCTGCGTATATCCAAGAGCTCCATTTGCTCAAGGCTAGCACTATAGTACTTGAGCCACAGCATCACTTCTGGTTTTTTCTTTTTTTTGGGGGGGGGAGGTCCGGTTGTGGGGCCTGAACTCTGGTCATGGACATTGTCCCTCAGCTCTTCTGCTCAAGGCTACCACTCTACCACTTGAGCCACAGCGCCACTTCCAGCTTTTTTTCTTTTTGCTTATATGGTGCTGGGGAATCGAACCCAGGGCCTCATGCATGCAAGGCAAGCGCTCTACCACTGAGCCACCTTCCCAGCCCCACTTCTGTTTTTTTCTGTGATTAATTGGAGATAAGAGTCTCAAAAACTTTCCTGCCCAGATTGGCTGTGAACAGCAATCCTCAGATCTCAGCCTCCTGAGTAGCTAGGAGTACAGGCAATGAGCCACGGGCATCTGGCTTCTATGATACCTTTTTAATGGCTGTATTGTCCACAACACTGAGTGGATCCATCACAATGTATTTTACCAAACTTATATTCCAGTTCTTCCCTATTAGAAAAAAAGCAATGTAAAACATTTTTGTGGTGATAGTGCAATGCATACTCATGATTATTTTTGCAAGTGAATTAATTTTCTAGAACTGGAATTTCTCAATTTAAGGTTATGAAACATTCTTAGCCTTTTGATACAGTTTAACACACACACACACACACACAGAGGGCTGGGAAGTTGGCTCAGTGGTAGAGTGCTTGCCTTGCATGCATGGGCCCTGGATTCGATTCCTCAACACCACATAAGCAAAAAAGCTGGAAGTGGCGCTGTGGCTCAAGTGGTAGAGCGCTAGCCTTAAGCTGAAGGGCTCAGGGACAGAGCCCAGGCCCAGAGTTCAGGCCCCCTGACCGACAACAACAAAAAAAATCTTTATATAGCTCTACAGTGGGGTTTTACTGAGAACATTTCTATACATGCATACAACAATAACTCAATCAACCTTGACCTCTGTGCTTTTTTCCTTTTTCTTTTTTTTTGGGTCTGGTCGTGGGGCCTGAACTCTGGGCCTGGGCACTGTCCCTCAGCTCTTCAGCTCAAGGCTAGTGCTCTACCACTTGAGCCACAGTGCCACTTCTGGCTTTTTTCTTTTTGCTTATGTGGTGCTAAGAAATCGAACCCAGGGCCTCAGGCATGCAAGGCAAGCACTCTACCACTGAGCCACCTTCCCAGCCCCTGTGCTTTTTTTAAATCCTGCTAAAAGGCCTAACCAATCCATTTCACCAACATTAAATCTTTAATTATAGTTTATTTGTGATCATGGGAACTAAAGCCAGGACCTCCTGAAT